AAATGCCATCAAAAGTGGACATTTACCAATATGCTCCATCGTAGGTGGAGATTTGTCAATGCACTCCATGTAAGGTGGAAATTTTGTTAAGGTACTCCATCCATTGCTGATTCGGGGGAAGATGGATGTGGTGTCATGCTGTAGAGCATTCAGCATGCCGTGTATGTGACCTGAGCGAGAAGTTCTGAATGAGGTTTTGTTGTCTTTGAGTTTTTGTTGTCGCGTGTTGCTATCACCAAGCTTTACACTGAACTTGCACGGGTTGTTCTGTCCTGAAAAAAATTGGTGGATCATGGTCGTGCATTGTTCCTCTTTTCGCGCAGCAACCTCTTCGCAGCCAGGCAAAGAGTCAGAGAGAGTTACAGGAACTGACTACCCGTTGCAGCTGTCTAATGAGATTGGCGGCAGTTCGAAAGGCTTCCTTGTCTTCTCAAGCACATGACAAGGCTAGGGCTGCTGTGTGCTTGACTGCCATCAAGCGCAAGTACCACCATAATGGATCACCTGCTTCAAATACATTGTGGTAAGCGGAAAACTAGGTAAAAAAAAACTTAGAAAAGTAAAAACGATCACTTTGTGAAGTACAGTTGAAGTACAGTTTTTTGCTTGAAAGGAGAATGGATTATTATCAACTAACAATTTAATGTGTTTTGTCCGGCGTGCGCTGCCTTGCACAACCATTGACACACAATCGGTGTACAATTGCAGTGCAATGTGCGCATTTGGAGGTGTTGTGCGATGATGAACTGCATTGTGTAGATGCTGTGCCGGGGAGGAGGTTGGAAAGGGCGGGGGGGAAGGAATGCGGTACCTGTATTATGTATCGAACAGTACAAATACGTGATATATTTGGAATCTGAATCTTTTATTTTTTTTTCCCAGATAAATACATCCCTTCCAGAAGTCGGGATAGGGATCTGTCATTGTTGAAACTCTGTGCTCGCGCACATGGGGCAGCAGTACACAGCCCACAGCGGTGCACCTGTGCATGGCTGTGCAGTATCATGCATTCATGCGCCACACCTGCGTGGTGGCGGCGCAAGTATGATATACCCATGTATTGGGAACTAGACATCCAGATGGGCTTGCTGGCTGTCCCGACTTTCGATTGGTACCGATTGTGTGAAGAGAACAATGTTTTTATTTTTAAACAGTGTTGCATACCCCGAAGGTAGGCGCCCCTTGACTGGTGGGCTGCCAACCAGCCAGGCTGGCGGTCGGCTGGTCGCCACCTACCGGTCGAGGGTCGGCGGCATCCCGCAGAAAAAAAAAAAAAAAAAAAAAACACATTATTTGTCTGGGAGTCCATAATCCCCAATAACCCCACCAACACCACCATACCCGCCCCCAATACCCCCATACACCCCCCCAAACGCCCTCAAACCACCCTCCGAAACCCCGTATACCACCCGTATACCACCCGTATACCACCCGTATCCCCCCGTGCCTCCCCCCCATCCCCAAAAGTTTCTCAGCGGATTTTTGCTGTGCTCAGCAAGCGCACTACAGCCCCAGAGTCAGATTTGGAAACAAATCAGTGGATGGCTGTTTTCTGACTGGTCGCCAGCCAGTCTGCCCTTCTGGTCGGCTGCAAAACGGTCGGCGGTCGGGGTCGGCGCTCGGCAGGTATGCAACCCTGTTTTTAAATTATATTTTTTCCTCTTGATATTTGACAACTATAACTAATGATTTGTTATGGACATTTTTGTGAAGGAAATCTGGATAAAAAAGAACCAGAGTGGGAACTGTTAGCAAATGACAAAATCGATGACATGAACCTCTCGACTTCGATTGTCTCTAAGTCTGGTAAAGAAACCACAGAGACCGTAAGTTGGCTTAAAGATCTTGCCTTTTTCGCTTCCCACCACCTGTCTCTATCACAGACGATTGTTGTCAGCATGCTGTTTCTTTCAAAGCGAGTATGTGTTTCTTTTTCCTATTCCTTTTACTCATCTGCCCTTCTGTATACTGCCCTCCCCATTTGCGCTTGTGCTTGTCCTTGGATCCTGTGTACTCTCGTACAGTGCTCCAGCTCCTTGTTCGCGTAGCTCGTCACCTACCATGCTTGCCGCCGAGGATAAGCATGGAAATGAGGTGGCGGTGTCTGCCACTTGCTCTACGGATATTCCGGTCTGCCGATCGTCACCTCCCTTAGCGCATCTTGCGTCAAGCGAAGAAGGAGACAGGTGCTTAGCAAGGAATGGAGATAGCCCAGCAAGAAATGGAGATGGGTCAGCAAGAAATGGAGACGGCAGGAGCGCGAGGATACGGTTTGATTTGCAACGGGAGAATGGCGCCGCAGCAAACCCTCAGGAACGATCATTGAGCGGCGACACGCAGGATATCTATGTGACGCGTGGTGTGCTTGGACTGAGGATGGCCGAAGAACTCGGGAATGGCAACGGAGCCATTTCAACGGATGTGATTGATCTAACGGCGGATGCAGATCATGCTAGACTCCACAAGCGTATCAGGTACACTGACGAGCTCGATTTGAGACGCGGGTATGTTGGTGTGGATATCGTAAAGAACTGTTCCGACCAGCAGAAATGCGACGGAACGGAGAACGATGCAGAGAGCAGCGTAGACCGGCAGAAACGCGATGGCGGGGTGGAGAATGGTGCAGAGAGCAAGGTATTGTTGTCCCAAGAGCTATTACGTAACAGTGGTGATGGAATAGCAGGCAACAGTTGCGAGGTACTACTGTTTGATGCGAATAACTTGGCGGCAGGAGATACCACGAAGACTACGGCGGACGGAAATGACGAAGTTGTGTTTGTAGAGGAGAGGGCGATGGTGCGGTGTCCAACAGTGGTTAACGGCAAGATGGGTCTGAGAGCGTATGGGAAGATACGGGAGAATGTGAATCTAATCGATGACCAGATCAGGCAGAACGAGGATGTGAAAGGGTGTTTATCTAAGGGTAAGGAGGCAAGGCATGCCATACCGAAGGGCAGGGTTAGATTTGCTGACGAGGTGGACGGGGGAGGACCTCTGGTCACCGTGTTGAACCGGAATAAAAAATTATTTATGAAGATTGAACCAGAAGACCTGATGCCCATGAATACAGAAGCAACCACCTGTGCAGGTGGCGATCCTCAGCAAAACACCCATCTTCCTAGCAGGAGGACATCGCCAACTGACCTGGATTTTCACTTTTTGGAGGCGTAGCGTAGCGTAGCGTAGAAAATCGCGTATCTGATCAATGACGACAACAACATTCATGGAAAATTTAACCCACGAGTGACAGAGAGAGCGACTGGATGCGTTCGCAACGTGCATGGACATGTTGGAGGCAGAACAAGGAGCCTGGGAACCGATAATCTCTTGCACGTGTTCGAGGCAGAACATTGGGCCTCGCTGCGCTGCACTGCACGACATTCGAAATGTGTCTGGAATCTGGATGCTTCGTGGTCCCGGTACATTCAAAATGCTGAACAGGTACGGAATGTATCTCGTCCATATTTCATTGCAGATGCATGTGGAATGTACAGTGGTCAAGCGAGGGGCATAGAATCTAGGAAACAATAAACAACAGCGACTACAACATTGTCATGCGAAATTGCATGCATGCTGCACCGTGCTGCTCCGAGATACGATGGGCATGCGTGCATGCTGCGCCGCATGCTGTGCCGAATTTACGATTCCCAGGCTGTGGCGTTCGAGGAACGGTGGCCGGCAGGTTCGCAGGGAGCAAGAGCCTAACGAGGGCCCGTTGGATGGGGGGAATAAAGGCGATGAAATTATACGAGGCTGGGTGGGCTCGTGGTAGCGGACGCAGAGGCCCTGCCCCGTCAGACTTCGCCCCCATTGGACCTCTGTGCATGCTGTGCCGTGGTGTGCCATTTTCCGAGTCTCAGGCCGTGGAGGTAGGTCGGTGTCTGGCATGTTTGCAGGGAGCAAGAGCATAATGAGCGCCCCTCGCAGAGGGCTCCGATTCGAGTGGGGGTCCCTGCAAATAACGAGCCCCCATTTGATGGGAGCAAAGGCAAAGAAATTATATTTTGCTGTGCGCTAGCTAGGGTGCCCTCACAGAGGTTCTCCCCCCGCCAGAACCCCTCGCCATTGCAACCTCCTCTGCGTCGTCTGAAACAGAGTTCTGTTTGTACCATTATTACCCTAATAACAGTAACAAATGATTTTTTTTCAAATTTTGGTCACTCGGAGGCAAATTTCGATTGTCCCCGCAAGGACAAAGATTCATGAAGTATTCAATTCTGCAGAAGGAAACACCTCCTGGTGTTGGAGGTACGATTGGGAGGAGGAGGTGGTGGAATGAAGGGAGGAAGTGGTTTTCTACCTGCTTTCGAGTGTTGGGTAGAATGGCCTGCGTTGGAGTTCTACTGTGCTCCTGCTTAGTGTGGTAGTTGTGCAGGGGCAATAACGCCTCCTGCTGTTGGAGGTAGGATTGGGAGGAGGAGGTGGTGGAATGAAGGAAGGAAGTGGTTTTCTACCCTGCTTAGGAGTTGCGGGTAGAATGCCCTGCGTTGGAGTTCTACTGTGCTCCCGCTTACTGTGGTAGTTGTGCAGGGGGGGATCACTGGGAATAGCCAGCCCTTGGTGGGCAATAACACCTGCTGTTACCGCAGTAACAAATCGATAACATAGATTTCAGAAACATCTGTATTGCTCTGTTCACTGTTTTAACGGAGTTGTTCATCATGTTTCCCCGTATCGCTTACTGTGGACACAGTTTTCTAACACTAACATACGCGTCTAAACATTAACAAACGCGTCTTAACAATAACACCACGTACCGCCTGCTAAAATTTGATAGGTTTTCTGCTTCTTTCGTCCCAAATTTGATAGTTCATTATGATGACGTCTATGCTTTTCAGCGGTAGCAATAGCAAACATGTGATTCTTTTTTTCTTGCCAAGTATCCTCGGCGCCAAGTTCCTCTTTGCTCAGGTAGATTGATGTAGATATTTTCTCCAACACCTCTCACGTATCAATAAATCGACGTTCATCAGAACCTGTGGCACAGTTCTGATAAGTCAGAAAACCCCTCTCGAATGTGCCGTGCCGTTCACAATTCGTTAACTATTGACATCTCTCTCTCTCTCTCTCTCTCTCTCTCTCTCTCTCTCTCTCTCTCTCTCTCTCTCTCTCTCTCTCTCTCTCTCTCTCTCTCTCTCTCTCTCTCT